TATATTGTCTAAGAAAATAAATATAATATAAGAGAAGCTTATCGGCGAACTGACGACTGGCCATTCATATGTTCATTAGATTTTGGTGTAATAAAAGCTTGTTTATGGTTTGGGACTTTAGTGATGTGAAATCAGTAATCGAACATGTTTCATGTCAAGTTATGTTAGGTCAAATTAAATTGAGTACTAATTACATCAAGTCAATTCAATAGTTTGACTCGAGTCAGATTGGTTTTGGGTTGACTCAGATTCGAGTCATTGTCAGGTTGATTTCAAATCAGACTCAGTTTGGATTCGGGTCAAATTAATTTCAAGTTAAATAAATATCAATTAAAGTCAAAATGATTTGGGTCCAAATTAGTTAAATATCATGTTAATTCAGGTTCATATGAACTTCATATCGGATCATGTTGTGTTGAAGGATAAAATTCAAGTTGGACAATATCAGTTTCGAGTTAACTTCAAGTCGGATCTTACCGGGTAGAAATATACTTTGAATCATGTCTTTTCAGGTGAATTATTTTACACCTTTCTCGAATGATGTTAAATTGTAATTGTATTATATATATATATATATAGTCTTATATGCTTCTAGTCATATATTATAATTATAGAGTTTGGAGTTTATTATATAATTTATAGTTTTTGTGAACAAAAATTTATAGAATTTGAAGTTTATGATATAATTCATAGGATTTGGAGTTTATGATGTAATTTATAGGGTTTGGATTAAATTAAAAAATGTGTCAATTTTGGATCAAAATATAACTTTAGGGACTAAAAAAATATTACCATATTAAAATTATTAGACTAAATTATAAAAATTAGAAATAAACAGGGATCAATTTTGGTTAAAAGCTTAAATTTACTCATAAACTTTAATTAAATGTTAATGTATAATATAAAAACTTCGATTTAATATAATTATACACACAAAAAATTGAATATATATGAAAATTACAATTTAAAAATATAAAAAAAAACTTATAATATAATTATCATCATTAATCATGTGCCTTAAATGGTAAAAAATTATTTTGTCACATTATAATATCATAAATTTATAATCTCTCAAGTCTCAAGTACTTCATTCTTCTTCGAAGTTGAGTCAATATTAGGTCGGTTCAATAGCAAGTCAAATCATTTACAGGTCGGGTCAAGAATAATTGAGTCAATTACAAGTCGGGTTGATAACAGGTCAGGTAAAATCATATCTCATATCATTTTAACTGGGGTTATATCGATTCTTTACCAAGGTAATCTCAAGTTCAGGTTCATGTCATATTGGATGCAGGTCGAGTTCGATTATCACATTATAAGATTCAATTCAGATTCAGATCGTTCACAGGTCGAGTTCAGATCCAAAATAATCAGATCTAACTTGAGTTCAAGCCAACACCAATTCAAACTCGAATCAATTTTAGGTCATAATTATCTTCAATCACAAACAATGCAGACTTGAGATAATTTCAGTCAATTTTTCAAGTGGAATAAATTTTTCACATTCCCATTTGGGACACTATTTATGACCTAAGAAAAAAATTAAGGAAAACAATCAATGTACCAATGCAATCTTTTTCTGTAGGTCATTCAAAAATGAACTGAATTTGTCGACGCTCGTTTTTTCGTCCCGATAATATTAATATCATTATTTGCTTTGTTATTACTAATATTATTATTAATATTTTTTAATTTCTCTAAACATAAAAAACCCAAAATAAGCTCAATCGGTCCCCAAAAATAGCCTAACCCAGTACAATTCAACATCAGGGCCCGACTACCAACTACCCAATTACAAGCAAGCCTGAAGCCCATTAAACATAACCAAGTAGCTAGGGTTTCTGAACCCCCTCTCTGGCGCCGCTCACTATTAGCCATTGGATCTATGAAAGATCCAACGACTCAGATTAACCATCAGTTAGGGTTTTACCCTAACCCATCCCAGTCGCTTTCTTTCATCCGCACGATCTGGACCCATCCAACGATCCAGATCACACCAAGGGTCATCTCAGCTGCCGCTAGTTTCCACCAATCCCCGACCACCGATGTTGCCACCAACCAAAGCCTCTGCATTGTCAGACACCCAAATCAACACACAAGCAACAAATCAACACACAAACCACAATAATCATTTTTTTGTAATCATTCAATTTTAAGAAAGAAAAAGGAAAAGAAATATATAAAAAGGGGTTATAAAGACCCCGAACTTTGTTGTTAAACTCTCTCAGTTTTTGAGTGGAAAAAAGCAACAAAAAAAACATAAGCATTTAAAGGTATCTTTTCTCTTTGTTTTCTTTTAGTTTCGAAGCATAATAAAAAAAGAAAAACAACCAAGCTTGCATGTAAGAAAAATAGAGGAATAGGGATGGATCTAGAGAAAAAAAATACATGAGTCGTGGGGAGGTCTTTGCGGCAGCCAGAGCTTGTGACAGCCGAAAGGTTGGGGCCCTTTTTGGGGTCGTTTAGAAGCGTTTTAGGTAGTTTAAGTCCTAGATCTAGGTTTAGAAGAGCGAGGAGAGTGTTTTAGGCTATTTTTAGGTAGGTTTCGGAGCTCTGGACACCGTGTGCGGCAGCCGAAACGGTGGTCGGGGGCAGAGAAAGGCGACCGATAGTAGACCGGCCGAAGAAAGGAAGAGAGAGAAAAAAGCGTTTTTAAACTTTTTTTGAGAAATCAGTTAAAATGAAAAAAACAAAGGTTGTACATATAGAGGGAGTTTCGGGGGAAATCATGTTTAGGTTCCCCAAGTTTAGCCGCGTTTTTGCAAAATAGTCACTTGTAGGGATCGCTTTTGTAATTTACACGTTTCTTGTGCATGTTATAAATTTTTGGTTTAATTTTTGTTTAGTCCCCATAACTTTAGCGTGTTTTTGCATGCTAGTCACCTATAGAGACTGTTTTTGTAATTTACCCATTTTTATGCATGTTATATATTTTTAGGGTTATTTTCTATTTAGTCCCAGTATGTTGAGCGTGTTTTTACATTTTGGTCATGTGTAGTGACTGTTTAATTTTTTTAAATGCTTATGGACTGATTTAATAATTTTCCTTTTTTTATTCGAATGAATATTTTAGGCTAGGAAAAAAGGAATATTTAGGAAATAGCCCCTGTGGTTTCTGCATGTTTATATTTCGAACCAGAATCTTTCTTTTTATTTATTTTAATTTGGCCATGCAATTTTAGTTTATTTTAATTTAGTCCCCATGTTTTGTTTATTTTTATTCTTTGTAATTTTAGCACCCAATAGTAAGCATGCTCATTTTAGTCACTTCTATACTTTATTTTATTTTAATTTTTGCATGTTGGTTGCATGTTAGTTCATTTTAGTCCTTAATAAATTTTGAATTATACCCTCATAAGCATCTCTTGACTCGATTCAAAATAAATTGACTAAGGGTAATATTCGTTCTTTTTAATATTGTCGTAAAGTGACTGTTTTAACTTATAAGAAAGTCACTTTAGATAATTTTAAAACGAAAGTATATCCCATTTAGTGTCACGAATTAAACCGAATTCATTTTAAAATTTGGGGATTGAGAAAATATCATGTTCTTTAAATTAAATTCATCGAGAAAAGATTGTTAGATCGAATCTAAGGTCTCGTCTCGAGATATTTAAATAATTGAACATCCTTATTCTCATAAATATTGGTAAAATAAATAATTAATTATACTTGCTTGATAAATGCTTTTAATTTGCTTTATTTTTTCATGTGTTTTCCAATGGGTTTTCAAAATAATAACATTCGAACCGATATTGAGAATAGTAAAATATTTTCATTTCAGTTGGAGTAATAAATGATTGCTTTAAGGCATGAGAGGTCATTTATTCTCAATTGGAAATAATTCGATATTACCGTTTTCTCTGGAATCAATATTGATTTTTTAAGACGAAATGGTGATATCTCTTCATTTCGATTGGAGCAATAAATGACTGGTTTAAGGTATGAGAGGTCATTTATTCTCGATTGGAAATCATTAGATATTATCGTTTTCACTCGGATCAATATTGAATTTTGAGACGAAATAGTAATATCTCTTCATTTCGATTAGAGTAATAAATGACTGTTTTAAGGGCATGAAAGATCATTTATTCTCGATTGGAAATAATTAGATATTATCATTTTTTTTCTCTTAAAATTATTTTGGGTGTTGTTATTTTGAATCAATAATGAACTTTAGAATGGAATTTTAATATTTATTTATTTTGATTGGAGTGAGAATCGATTGCTTTAAGGTATGAGAGATCGATTCTTCTCGATAGAAAATAATTAAGTATTATCGTGTTTCTTCCAAAAATTCAAAGAATATTATTTTTAGGGGATCTTAAATTAAATTAGACTCGAACTCATAAATTTCATTGCAAAGTCAACTAATTAATCGACTAGGTACCGATTTAGGGCGCTGTGGGGGTGCTAATCCTTCCCCACACGTAACCGACTCCCAAACTCGAATTTTGGTAACACAGACCGCAAGTTTGTTGTTTTAACTAAAATTAATATTTTATTAAAATAAGAAATACATTTTTGGATGCCCAATCACACCCTAATCAAATATTGATGACGACTCCTCAAACCATGTTTTATCATTAACCAGTCATAAAAATTTTTTTGAAACAAGAACCCCTTTTACCCTTTCGAAAAAACTGTTTCGACAGAATTCAAATAATTCAGTGATTCATATTTTAGGGATGTAATTTAGTATATCGAAATTAAAAATTTAATAATTATTTTAAGATCATGGATGATAATTTTTACAAATAAAAAATTATACCAAATAAATAATGGTAAAAATAATAATTTAAGTAAGAAGGGAGACTGCCTGCATCGATGCTAATAAAAATAAGAAGAGCAAGAGAAGCATGAAAATCACATGCAGATGTATAAAAATTAATAATTAAAATAGATGATCTGTAACAATAATAATTAATATTTAATGTTTCTTAAATAAAATTCAATAATTAATAATTACTTGATTTCTTCACTAAAAATTGTGTCCAACTCCCAATAAATTTTCTTTTAGTACGATTATTTCATATGAAGAAAAAAAATCACAAAGTAGAATTCACGTGGTCTTCTTGGGGATTGCACGATGATGGTGACAATCTACCTCTACAATCCTGAGATATCAAACAATTTAAAGAGTGAGCCACAAGAGTCCAGAAATGTACAATTATCCTGTGAGATTTATATATTATAAGTTAAGTAATGTAAATGAGAAGTGCATATACTGTAATCTTCCAAAGTTCATGCATATAAATAAACATTTTCCCAACAGTCGCTATATCATTTAGTCCAAGGAATTAGCATTATCATTAATATTATGATCGCATAATTATAAACATTGTAAATACCCCATGTAAGGCACTTGGATCACTTCAGGGCTCCCGTACGAGTTTGCTGGTAGCAAATACAATAATATGCTCCCTTGTGAGTCACTCTAATCCTTCGGAGCTCCAGTGCGAGTCAACCGAAATAATTACGATTAGGTGCTCCCGTGCAAGTCACCCGAAAAAATTATGATTAGGTGCTCCCGTGTTAGTCACTATAATCCTTCGGGGCTTTCGTACGAGTCACCAAGAATAATCACGATTAGGTGCTCCCTTGCGAGTCACTCTAATCATTCGAAGCTCCTGTGTGAGTCACCCGGAATACTCACGATTACATATATTTGCATACCAAGTGAGCCGTAGCTCTTTATCATTCACCTAGCTTTCGTTCACGCTTCCATACATATTTTATCTTATTGTCATAACATATGTCATAACACATATTTACAACCGTGAACATTAACAAGTAATTCCAACACTAAATTAAACACATCACAATTCTAGCAGTGAACTTAACATTGACTTACACCAGTGAAATGAATATGTAATTCTAGCACTAAACTTATGATGTGATTTCAGCAGTGAAACTTAATATTGACTTACACCAGTGAAATGAATATATAATTCTATCACTGAACTTATCACATAATTTCAACAGTGAAACTTAACATTGACTTACATCAGTGAAATGAAAACATAATTCCAGCGCTAAACTTATCACATAATTCCAGTAGTGAAACTTAACATTGACTTACACCAGTGAAATGAATACCTAATTTCAGCAATAAACTTATCACCTAATTCCAACAATGAAATTTAACATTGACTTACACCAGTAAAATGAATATGTAATTGAAACACTAAACTTATCACATAATTCTAGTAGCGAAACTTAACATTGACTTACATCAGTGAAATGAATACGTAACTTCAACACTAAACTTTGAAGCTTAACATTGACTTACATTAGTGAAATGAATACGTAATTCCAGCACTAAACTTATCACATAATTCCTGCAGTGAAATTTAACATTGACTTACACCAGTGAAACGAATACATAATTCCAGCATTAAACTTATCACATAATTCCTGCAGTGAAACTTAACATTGACTTACACCAGCGAAATGAATGCATAATTCCAGCATTAAACTTATCACCTAATTCCAGTAGTTAAATTTAACGTTGACTTAAACCAGTGAAATGAATACGTAATTCCAACACTAAACTTTTCACATAAGTCAAGGAGTGAAACTTAACATTGACTTACACTAGTAAAATGAATACGTAATTCCAGCACTAAACTTATGATTTCACATATCAAATAGTAATAAGGATTAAATCGGAGTGACACCGAGTCACCCGAACATACAACTACACTTTCAATTACTTTACCTTATAATCATATGGATCAACCAAGAATAAGAGCACATTATCTTAAATTAAATAGCTAGGGTGGATACCTCCTCCTTCCTCACCTTCAAGCTTTCTCCTTGCCCTTTGATTGAGATGATCCCCTAATTTCTTTCTCTAAAATAGGAAGAGATCAGACAAAAAGAACAAAAGAATAATGCTAACAACACATGACTAAGTTTTTTAACCTTTCTCCCCTCATTTTAAGCCACGATCATATCCAATTAAAACCTAACATTTGTGATTCTTCCAAAACTCAAAATCCCTCCCCTTCACATGGAAGTTCTCTCTTTTGCAGAAAAACCCACTGCATTAAAGGATTAATTCTTACCTTAATTCGTATGCCTTCACCCTTAATCACCTTTATGAGGAAGATAGATGGAATAAGCGGAAAACAATTGATGGAAAAGGAATGGAGATGAAATTACTTTCCTTTTCTCTCCCCCTTCTAGAACCCACCATAGTTTTCAATATATTTAGGCTTAGGATAGATTTTTATTTGAAAAGGAATGAATTGCCCATTTAGTCCCTTATTTTTGTCATTTCTTCTCAAGATTTCCTTGAGCTTACTAATTTACTTATTATTTATTCGATTTGGTTTAATCCTAATCTCAAGGTTTTCCTTGAGATTTCCTTGTCCGGGTCATTACAAAAATAATGGATAAAGATGGGCAATTGTTGAAACTAGATTTCTTTTGACTTGGTTTCTGAACATATTATTGTGCTTCGACTATTGTTTCTATTATGATTGGTGATGCACGTTGAATGTTTGAGCCATACTGTTGAGGGGAGTTTTGTGTTCTGTTGTTTTCGAGATCCATTAATGATCCTAAGTGTATTTTACTCACTTTTAGAGTTTAGACCTTAAAAAATAATTATTAATTTTAAGAATATTTTGGTATTTTTCACCACTTGAGTTCATTTTAATCATTGCAAGTATTATGATACTTATTCAAAAATAATGGATAAAGATGGGCAATTGTTGATAATAGATTTCTTTTGGGCTTTTTTTCTCTGAACTTATTATTGTGCTTCGACTATTGTTTGATATTATGATTAGTGATACACGTTGAATGTTTGAGCCATACTGTTGAGGGGGTTTTAAAAGAGAGATTATTAGCGTATACTGTTTTTTTTTCTTAGCAAAGTCTGTCTTATTAAATAGAAAAAAGAACATATCAGATCACCTTTTGCCTCGTATACGGTTAGTTCATGTCTTGTTGCAACAAAATAAGAAACAACGAGTGCTTTAGTATTTCACTTAAATGAGCCTGATGCTATAATTAGATAATAATGATATTATGGACCTTGGGAGGTGCAATAGAGAGTAATGCATACAAGCAGGCAAACGAGTTGATAATTAAGCAGTGATCAGGAATCCCACGTACACTTGTTATACAGGATGATCATTATTACAAATTGAAGAGCAAGCTAGCTAGCTAGCTATTACATGCAGTAGCCGCATATTTATTTATTTATCTAATATGTTGATGATGAAACCAAGTGGGGATCTGAGGTTTAAAATGAAATTTAAGGTTAAATATTATAGTGCATGATGGAGACGAAGTGTAGGATCATCACCACAATCCATAAATTCGTAGTTCACTGTAAGATGCCCGTCTTGCATGCCTTTGTCATCCATGATCTCAGAAAACGCTGGAAAGTCCAAATCCAAACTTGGCCTGGTGCATGTATCCAGCACTCTCACCGTCACGATTTTTCCATTGGCAGTGTTGGTCACCTGCATGCATATATGCATTCTGTCAATTCATGCACGCATGGTTTCCAGTAAAACAGAAACAAATTTATTTTGCTTGAAAACAAAGGGCGCTTACTTTTAAGCAGAGTCCACATCTTGATTGTGGCTTAGGAATCTCCGGTCCACAGAAGGCGGTCCAATAATATTTGCTGCGCCATTCAAAATTTTTAATGGATAAATATATGTGTGCCCACCTTTGAATTTTTTTTGGATCCGCCACTGTCCATGGATAAATAAGCCTCTTTTGGAGAAACATATGATAAAACATTACTATTATCTGGATCTTACTCGTCATCAGTTGGCACATCCATTACTCCTTGAATAATTTCTTCATCCATAAGTGACTCAATTGAAGATTAATGAATACCTTCAACATCACCAATTTCTTGTTTGAGAGGCATATATTTATCGATCCAAATTTTATAATGTCGAAAATAATTTGCAATAGTTGTAGGCTTCACATCAATATTCCAAACAACATTAATAAAATGACTTGTATCGAATACATTAACCTTTTCAGGATTTAGTTCTCCTTTCTCGTAACTTTCCAAGATGCTAGAATGAAAGCAACACTGATAATAAATCTTAACTGCTATAATAATTCTAGCATCACATGAATGAAGTTTCTATGTTGAATTTGGAGGCAAAAAGAATAATTCAGTGTTTCTCAAGCCTTCAATAACTTGCCGAAGGTTTCATCTATCTTACCCAAACCAGCTCTCTCGTCACGAGTTTGTATGTTGTCGTCAACGCTGATCTCGTATCCCTTGCCAGCTTATGTGCGTAATTCTTCACCCGACTTGGATTTTCTCTCTTATCTTCGAAGACCTGTTCTTCCAAAGACTCCATATTGTCAATGAGAAGAGTATACCCCAGCTTAAACCATCCCCCATGTCTCTCTTTGAACAATAGTTTTTTCCTTAAGCCCCTGTCTGTCTCCCCATAGTTCCGCGGAGGCGCTGTTTGTTCTGGCAATTTTCAACATAAACCCACCTATCCAATCGCCATTCTCGTCCCTGATTATTCCTCCCGCTGTGCCAACTCCGTGTTTACTTTACACCTCACATCCGTGTTAATGATCCAACAACTTTCCGAAGGATTCATCTATCTTACCCAAACCAGTTCTCTCATCACGAGTCTGTATGTTGTCATCAACGCTGATCTCGTATCCCTTGCCAACTTATGTGCGTAATGCGCCACCCGACTTCGATTTTCTCCCTTCTCTTCGAAGACCCTTTCGTTTCTATTCCTCCAAAGACTCCATATTGTCACCGAAAAGAGTATACCTCAGCTTAAACCATCTCCCATTTCCCTTTTTGAACAATAGTTTTTCCTTAACCACTCCTTGAAAACCCTTGTTCCGAACTGGTCATATTGGTATTGTGCATGTAACTCATCCCAAACCAGTTTGCGTCTTGGGGTCATGTTCTTCTTCGCTCGGATTTCGGTAGTATTCAATTTATTCAGATTGTAAAGCCATATGAAAACTGTAATCCATTCTGCAGCTTCCACTCTCCAGACCCATTTCATGTTTTCCGATGGTTGCTCTGGCATTTCCATGTTCGTAATAGCTTTGGCAGCTGAAGCTATCGTGAACTTCCCATCTTTGGTGAGACCCCATAAGACTTTATCTCGGTTCCGCTCGTTATTCCCTACCGGGATTGAGATCCCTTGGATTTGCTCCCCTGTTTCGTCCGAGATTATACCTGATAACTGTCGTTTTGCTATCAAAATAATTTCGGCTTCTTATTAAGTAAAAAGGGAGAGTAGTATAGAGAAACATGGTCGATCCACAGGGACTGTGGTGTTTCTGATTTAGTAAAATTTTTACATGATTTAGAAGAAGATATAATTTCATATAAAGATGAAAAGATAGAAATAAATAAAATAAATAATTATAATTTGTTTAAAAGGGAAAATAATAATAAAATAATAAATAATAATTGTAAGACAATGATAAAGATAAAAAGGGGGTTTTTAGATTGTTTAAAGAAAGATAATGAGATAAAAATTAAATAAACAAATAAATAAATTAAATAAATTGAGATAAAGAAGACTTATGGTAAGAATAGCCTCAGACTTCAGCTTTGCCTCAAATTCTTCAGATCATCAAAATAGATCTTTACTTCAAGATTCACGTCGACTACTTGTCTACAAGCACAATTCCTTGTGAATATGATTTGTATACCGAATATCCAAGTGCACTCTTAAATTTCAGTTTGTGAGTTGATCTAAGCAACAACAATGTTGTAGATCTTAAAACATTGAAGTTCGAAAAGCTGTCGACTCGGATTATGTTGTTTCAACAATAAATGATTCCGATCTCAGTTTCCTCTTAGCAAACAATTTTGCTAAGTGTGTTCACAGGAAGACAAATGTGCTTCAATAAGCCAATCCTTCTTCCCACGTTAACCATAACAACATCCAGACCAACGTCGACTTTTGGTTTTGAAAATCGTTTTGATTTGTAAAATAAGCCCAGAAAACAGAGAGAAAAATCCGAAGCGATTGAAGTGCCTTACAATTCTCACATTTGGAATTGAGTCTTCGCTTTAGCCTTAGGCTTAAAAGAAAATTAGCTAAGCATGACCAAAGTCATACTTAGCATATTTGAAAACAAAATTTTAAAATAAAATAAAGAATTATGCGAAAAAACTTGAAAGAAAATAGAGAGAATTTGATAAAGCTAGAGAGAAGAAGAAGATTAAATTCTCAGATGTGAGAGATATGTTTCTAGGCTTACACTGAGAGGGTATTTATAGCCTTCAAAATCCTAAAAATAAGCTAAAGATAATTCCTAGAATAAAGAAATAAATCCTAATTAAAACACTTAAAACTATTTAAACTAAAATACCTAAAACAAAGATAAGATAAAATATAATAAAAATAATATCCTAAATCCTAATTAAAACTATTTAAACTAAAATACCAAAAACAAAGATAAAATTAAATAATATCCTAAAACATGAGTTTAATTCAAATCCAAATTGTAGAAACGTGCGGCTGATCCATTCATTCTTCTAGAAGTGTTGACTGGACCTTCTAGAAGGTGTTGACGTCATCGCCTATTCAGATATTTCATGCCTAAAGTCATGCCGACTAATCCGGCTTTGATTCTGAAAATAAAAAACTGTAGAATTCTGTCCTTTTAGTGCAATTTCTAGAATCTAGCGTCCTGCATAGAAAATGAATCAAAACGAACAAATAAGCCACAAAAACCAATGATTAAGGAGCAATTTAAAAACAAAATATTTACCAAATAAAACACTTATCAAATTTCCCCTCACTTATTCAATGCTTGTCCTCAAGCATTCATCAATTAACACATCAAAATCACAAGTTTCCATTTTCAATTTCAATTTATTTCTCACACTTCCAATCGAACTAAGTCCATGACATTTTTCGAATTCAAGTTACAATAAAGCAAAGACACAACTAAGAAAATTTAAAGTAAGCAATATATCCAAATTAATTGCCAACTTCAATGAAACATGACTCAATACCTCACAAAGATTCACACATATCCGCTCAAAGTGTTTGGGGTAAAAGAAATTGCTCAAACCGAAACTAACCAAAATATTATCATAGGCTTGGAATCCAATCAAGTCTCCACTACTAAAAGTGAACATAATGCAATAATCAAGGTCTTTAAACAAGGTGTAATGGGGCTTAGGTTAGGGT